CTCCTCCAACACCATAACTCAAAAGCATCAATTCTTCTACAGCCTTCCTTATTCACTGTCCCGCTTTCGCATGCATATGAGGTTATTGAAAATACCATGGCTTGGGTCAGGTGCACCTTAGTCCTCAAGCTGACATCTTTGCTCTTCAACACTTTAAAAAGGTCTTGTGCAGCATATATGCCTAATGCAATACATAGTTTGATTTCTTGACTGCTGCTTCTGTGAGTGTTGATAGTTGATCCTAGGTATTAGTGAGATGAAATGGACTGGTATTGGCCATTTTGAATGGGCCAATCATATGGTTTACTGTGCTGGGAATGACAAATTGAAAAGCAGTGATGTCACATTCATCATCAAAATGAGCATTTCAAGGTCTATCTTGAATTGCAATGCTGTCTGTGATAGGATAGTATCTGTATGCCTACCACAGAAACCAGTTAATACAACTCTTATTCAGATTTACACACCTAACACTAGAGCCAATGATGAAGAAATTGAAGAATTCTGTCAAGAATTTCACTATGAAATTGATCAAACATGCAATCAAATACATTGATAATTACTGGTGATTAGAATGTGAAAGTTAGAAAAAATGGGGAAGACTCAGTAGTTGGAAAATATGGCCTTGGTGATAGAAACAGTGCTGGCTGTCACATAATAGAATTGTGCAAGACCAATGACTTATTCATTGCAAATACCTTTTTTCAACAATATGAACAGCAGCTATAAACATGAACCTCACCAGATGGAATACACAGGAACCCAACTGAGTATATCTATGGGAAAAGATGATGGAGAAGCTCATTACCATCAGCCAAAACAAGGCTGAGGCCAACTGTGGAACAGACCATCCGTTGCTTGTATGCAGGTACAGACTGAAGCAAATTAAAACAACTCCATGCCAGCCAAACTATGATCTTGAGTATATCCCACCTGAATTTAGAGAACATCTCAAGAACAAGTTTGATGAATTACACAATAATAACCCAAGACCAGAGGAGTTGTGGAATGATATCAAGAACATCATACATGAAGAAAACAAAAGATCATTTAAAAGAGAGGAAAAAAATACAAGAACAAAATGGATGTAAGAAGAGACTCTGAAACTTGCTCTTGAGCACAGAAAAGCTAAGAGACAAGAATGATGAAGTAAAATGATGAGCTGAACAGAAAATTTCAAAGGACAGCTCGAGAGCACAGAGTCAAATATTATAATGTAATATGCAAAGACCTGGAATTAGAAAACCAAAAGGGAAGAACATGCTCAGCATTTCTCAAGCTGAAAGAACTGAAGAAAAAATTCAACCTTGGGTTATAATATTGAAGGATCCTAAGGAGCTCTGGTAGCGTAGTGGTTACGAATCGGGCTATGAACCTTAAGGTCAGCAGTTCGAAACTACCAGCTGTTCCGTGGGAGAAAGAGGAGGCTTTCTGCTCCCATAAAGATTTACAGCCTCGGAAATCCTGTACAGGATCGCTATGGGTCGGAATCGACTCGACAGCACTTAACAACAACAACAACATGGGAAAAATATTGAATGATATAGAAAGCATCAAAAGAAATACACAGAATCATTGTACCAAAAAGAATTGGTTAGTGTTCCACTATTTCAAGGTGTGGTAATATGATCAAGAACTGATGGTATTAAAGGAAGAAGTCTAAGCTGCACTGAAGGTGCTGGCAAAAACACAAGGCTTCAGGCACTGACAGAATACCAATGGAAATGTTTCAACAAAATGAAACAGTACTGGAGGCACTCACTTATCTATGCCAAGAAATTTGAAAGAGCAACCAACTGGGAGAGATGCATATTTGTGCCTATTCCAAAGAGAAGTAACCAACAGAATGCAGATGTCATTGAACAATATCACATGCAAGTAAAATTTTGCTGAAGACGATTCAAAAATTGATTGCAGCAGTACATTAACAGAATGCTGCCTGAAATTCAAGCCAGATTCAAAAGAAGATGCAGGATATCATTGCTGATATCAGATGGATCTTGGCTAAAAACAGAGAATACCACAAAGATATTTACGTGTGCTTTACTGACTATGCAAAGGCATTAGATTTTATGGATCAAACTATGGATAATGATGTAAAGAATGGGTATTCCAGAATATGTGCTCATGAGGAACCTGTGCATAGACTAAGTAAGAGGCAGTCATTAGAGCAGAACAAGGGGATACTGAATGTTTTAAAAATCAGGAAAGGTGTGCACAAGGTTCTATCCTTTCACCATAGTTATTCAATTTATATGCTGAACAAATAATCTAAGAAGTTGAATTATATGAAGAAACCCATGGCATCAGGATTGGAGGAAGCTTCATATTAACAACTTGCGCAATATGCCGATGAGACAACCTTGCCTGCTGGAAGCAAAGAAGACTTGAAATACTCCCTGATGAAGATCAAAGCCTACAGTGTTCAGTATGATTGCATCTCAGTGTAAAGAAAGCAAAAAATTCTCACAACTAATCCAATACATAACATCATAATAAAGGGAGAAAAGAAGTTGCCAAAGACTTCACTTTGCTTGGATCCTCAATCAGTGCTCATGGAAGCATTGTATCATATTAGGCATGTATCACATTAGGCAAATCTTCTGCAAAAGACCTCTTTAAAGTGTTCAAAAGCTATGATGTCACTTTGAGAACTAAGGTACACTGACCCAAGTCAAATGCCTCATATGCATGTGAAAGTTGCAATGAATAAGGAAGACTGTAAAAGATTTGATGCATTTGCATCACAGTGTTGGAGAAGAATACTGAAAGCATCATGGACTGCCAGAAGAACAAACAAATCTGTGTTGATAGAAGGATAACCAGAATGCTCTTTAGAAACAAGGATGGTGACACTTTGTCTCTTGTACTTTGGGCTTGTGAAAATGGACCAGTCCCTGAAGGACATATACTTAGAAAAGTGGAGGGGCTGCGCAAAAGAGGAGGAAGGACACACAGTGACATGGATTGATATAGTGGCAGCAACAATGGGTTCAAACATAACAACAGTTGTGAAGATGATGCGGGATCAGACAATGTTTTCTTCTGTTGTGAGTCAGAACTGACTTGAAGGCACCTAATAACAATATTATATAATTCCATTTTTTAAATTTATTGTAGTCAGTTTACTCACACAATATTTGCATTCCCCACCCAGACTGTGTGCTCAATGGAAACAGACACCTGTTCATTTCTTTTGCCAAAGGACCTTCAAGACCTAATAAACACATGTGTTGTTATTGTTGTGAAGTGTTGTCAAGTCGGTTCCAACCCATAGCAACTCTGCTAAGGGTTTCCAAGGAGTGACTGGTGAGCTTGAACTGCCGACCTTGTGGTTCAAATCAACTTTGCAATCCAATGCATTAATCCTCAGCACCACACCAGGACTCCAATAAACACATAATGGATACTTATGGCTCTGTGGGCTATTGCATCAGACTGCAAAGCCATTTGAACTTCAAAGTCAGTGGTTCAAGCTCACCAGCTGTTCCTTGGAAACCCTATACAGGGTTGCTATGGGTTGGAATCGACTCAACAGCACTTAACAACAACAACAACAATACATACATGCTAAATGAGTAAATAAATAAAGTGATTTAGAAGGAGGCAGAATAAAGTGATTTAGAAGAAGGCAGGATCAATTATTTCATTGTATCTCCTGTATAGAAAAAAATTGGTTTATCACTAGAAAGCTCCTGTTTCCCGAATAGTCTATAATCTGAACAATGGTACAAAATATTTCTTTACTGTACCTATCAGTTTGCATCCAAACTATACCAAGACTACCATTTTATATGAACACTCTTTGGATCCCTCTTTTGTAATAAGCTTATTCTTTCGTATCTCTGTCCCAATCCTTGAGTTAAATCCTATCTCCACCCCTGTGAAAAGCAGGCACATTTTATTCATTCTATGTATCTTATTGCTCTAGCTAGTTCCATTGGCATTAGAGTGGCTTATTAAAAATTATGGAGTCCTGGAATGGCACTGTGGGTTAATGCATCAGGCTGCAAAATCCTTTGAACTGCAAGGTCGGTGGTTGAAGTTCACCAGCTGCTCTTTAGAAACCGTATACAGGGTTGCTATGGGTCAGAATCGACTCAACAGCACTTAACAACAACAACATTCACAATTATACCTGTAAATAGCTTTCTTTAAAATAATAAAAAGAATCAGACCTTCATTACTAACCAGGTAACTATGTAAAAAACGTTTCACCTCATTGAATCTCAGTTCCCTCCCTGTAAATAGGAATTGAACATCTCTGCTTATTTCACAAGGTTCTTCAACTTTGAACTACACAACAAATAATAGGTGCTATGTGGGCCAGAAGTTGCTGGAACTATTTCCCTTGCACGTTGCTGCAACTATATTAACAGTTTGGAAAATACATCAGAAACTATAAAATGTTCATTCTCATTTGATTCAGTAATTTAGTTTCTGATAATTTATTCGTATGAAAAAAATTAAAGAAAAATTATGTGAAAAAAGGTGTACATTGCTGCATATTCTACAAAAGCAAAATACTGGAGACAGTCTAAATATTTCACAATAGAATGGTTAAATCAAACGTGGTTCTTTAGCACAATGAAATATTGTGCAATAGACAGACGATTCCTGGTGTGGTGCTGTAGAATAAGCAGTGGACCACAAGGTTACTTTGAATTGCAAGGCTGGTGATTCAAATCCACCAGCCACTCCATGGAAATGCTTTACCAAGGATCACTATGAGTCAGAACTGACTTTGGGGCATTTAACAGCAACCTATATGATTAGCCATCAATACTGTATTAACCTTATAAACTAAATGTGGAGAGAAAATGAGTGAAAGAAAGCATGAAACAGAATGACTGACATCTACTGTAATCATAAGTATTCTTCCTCTTATTAATTACTCTGAATGTAATTGGCAGAATAACGAAAATACTTAAAATAGTTTACTTTTTTTTTTTTAAACCCCAAACTAAATTTCTTCTTACCATCTCTTGTATTTTATTTAGGGAAATTATCGTTTCATGAAACTCCTACTCGCACGCAGAGCAAACTGGATGCAAAAGGACCTGGAAGAGATGACTCCTTTGCACTTAACTACCAGGCACAAGAGCCCCAAGTGTTTGGCACTTCTGCTGAAGTTTATGGCACCAGGAGAAGTGGATACACAGGATAAAAACAAGGTAATAGATTGTCAAATTGAAGGCAAATAAAAGAAAGAATATTTCTCTTTGCTTCCTTTTATAATGTGAAATCTCAAGGAAGAAGGCCTAAATTACTACCCATACAAATGATAGAACAATTCCAAGTCTACATTCTGGGAAAGTAATTTTTTAAAGGTTATCCTCATAAGATAGAAGGGTGAGAGGCAGAGATGAATTACTCATCAGAAGATGGAAGTCACATGGTGTTTTAATCGGATACTCCTGACTTTTGAATTCACCACCATAGTAACAGGAAAAAAACAAAATGTGCACATAAGTGGACCTGCTGGACTCAAACCCAAGTTATTCAAGGGCTACCTGTATACCAAAACTTTACAGTGATTACCTCTGGGTATTGAGATTTCTGGAGATTTCTTTCTTTCATTTTGGTTTTCTTATATCGTGAAGCACTTTCAACAGCAAAAATTGATTATATTTTTTAAATTATATTATATACAATAAAGAAAATGAATTTTTAAAAAATTATCCTCATAACTATATGTGATAGGTCACTTCATCTCCTTTTTCACAGATGGGAAATTGAAGCTGAGGATGATTAAACTTTTACACAAAATTTAAGTGGCATAACTAGAATTCAAATCCAGATATTCAGACCCTAAAACCCAGTTGTTGTTAAGTGCCGTTGAGCTGGTTCCAACTCATAGCAACCCTGTATAGGGTTTCCAAGGAACAGCTAATTGAGTTTGAACCACCAACCTTGTGGTCAGTGCTTTATCCCACAGTGCCACACCAGGACTCAAATGATCAAAACCCAGTATTTGATAGTTAATTGTCGTACTTAAAGGAGCCCTGGTGACACATTTGAGTTAAGGGCTGGGCTGCTAACCCCAAATTCAGCAGTTCAACCCCACCTTCCACTCTTCATTAGAAAGATGAGGCTCTCTGCTCCCATAAAGATTTCCAGTCTCTGATATTCTATAGAGCAGTTCTACTCTGTCCTTTAGGGCCACTATGAGTCAGAATTAACTCACTGGCTTCTGATAGTGATTACAGATGGTTAGGTTCACAGTAGCCAGATGCCCAAAGCAAGGTACTGTATAAACAATGACCTGGGCTTTGGTATCAAACTCCTTGGGTTTTAAGTGCTGAAGCTACCACCTAGTAATTCTGTGTCCTTAGGCAAATTACTCAATTTTCTCTTAGGCAAAAGGGTATAATAAGACCATTTAGGAATAAATGACATAACAAATGTAAAGTATATAACAAATGCACCTCTCATTTGATTCTGGAAGCTATGCCACTGGTATTTAAAATAACAGCAGGGTCACCCATGGTGTACATGTGGACCTCAGTGTGTGGAATACACGGAAATCTAAT